TTATTTATTATTATTATTATTTTTATTAATTATTATTATTATTTATTATTGTTATTTACTATTATTATTGTTATTTAGTATTGTTATTATTATTTATTATTATTGTTAAATTATTATCATTTAATTCAATTTTTTAATGAAATAATTGGTATTGCTTGTTTATCTCACTACAAATGGATACCATATCTGATGATCGAACAAGCTCCCAGTTTTTCATCAAACTTAAGCAGTATTGAATGTTTAGAAAATTCTGGAAATCCCAAACAATTCCGCACTCATAAATTTGCCAGTGATAAATGATTTAAATTATTGTTAATTAAATAACAAATAAATTACATTACCGTTTTAGTAAAAGTGAATTGGACTAAGCAATTGCATGATATTATTATGTAAAATTAACAAATAGTTACGATAATTTAATTCCAATTTTCATTTCTGATATGATTACAAATATCCATTGTTAGTTTATATATGATTTTTTCCAAAAATCAAATGTTACAATAATTTAATTGGTTTTCTCACTAACCTCATTTGACTTTTTGGTCAATGTGAGCAATTTATTGATCTGTATGGAGAAGAAGCGAAAGGTAAAGTGAAAGGGATAACCTAAGTGACCATCGGAAAATGGCCGGTCACATTTTGGATCCCAAGTATGTGGTATCCTCCAAAAAGCATACATACATACACTGACATACACTTACACATCCACTCACATTAACCCGCAAATACACACACACAGCTACTCACACACACACATACACACACATTCACATACGTACACATATATTAAGTACACACATACATTCGTATGTGACACACTCAATCTCATAATCAACATTTTATTATATTTTCATGTCCTCGGTATCCTCAACAAGTTTAGAGGGAATCTATGGTCTTTGTTACTTCATTTTATTCTTCTCTTTATACTGGTTCTTATCAGTTTACTATTTTCCACTTTATTAAAAATATATTCAAGAAGATTATCATATAATAATAGAAAAGGAAAAATTGAAGAAATTTAAAAATTTCATTTTTGATACAATTTTTCTTTAATATATATATATTAAAAGATAATATTTTTGACATTCATTATGGTTCAATAATATTGGTATTATTTAAAATTCTAAGTTTTGTTTTGAAATTAAATTTCAATTTGAATTATTATTTGATTTAATTTCGAATTTTATTGAATACAAAAATATTGATTTTTCCTTCACAAAAAAAATATGTAATATTTTTTAATTAACCATTTTGCTTTGTTTATTTTTGCTCAGTAATATATAATAATATATGGCATATATGTTTATTTTTTTATTGACCACTTTTGTATATTTGTTTATTTACACCTATTTGTCTTTTTGTTTATTTATTTATTTATCAACAGATATATAATCTATGATTAGGTAAATAATTTTTCCTTTCCTTCTTCATTTTACTAATTTTATTAATTGTTAGAAAAGGTAAAGAAATGAATGAACGATGTAAAAGAGTAGAATGAAACATTTTAAAATGAAATAAATGATCGACAATTACTAATATTATCTTTTATTTCTTTTTTGAAAAAAGTATGAATCATTCATAAATAATTTCCTTTTTAAAATATTATTATTATGATTTTTGATTCGATTCGTTTCCATTACTTTCATATATTTATTATATACTATTGAAGAGAAAGTTTTTTTAACCTAACCTTCATACTATATCATATCATTATTGGTTGCATGTTTGTTTCGAATTATTTATTCCTTTTGCTGTTTCTCTAACCGAATAAAATTTCATACCTAAAAATGTTATTTTAAAGCCAATTGTTTTTTTAAATTACTTTTCTTTTTTTATATATAACTATTTAATATGAAAAATATTTTATAATTTAGTCAGAAAATTCAATAATTTTGGAATATTAATTAAATAAAGGTATATAATTATATTGAAGTAAAATTTAAAGGAATCATCAAATTAATTGCATTTATTCATAAATGAAATTTGATCAACTATTAAAATCGCTATATAATTGATATTTTTAAAATCAATTTGAATTCGATTCTGTGATCAAACATGATCAACTGAAATGTTAATTGTTTATTTGCAGTTCAAAAATTTTATTAAAAGCCTTAATTATTTAAATATGCTTGATTATTTCCTTCTCATTCTTATCTTTGTCGTATATTTCGACAGTCTTCAAAATGATTGTCTTCATACGGATCATCCCATCCATAAATAAATACTTTTCAATCATTTTAATAGTTAATTTTAAACCGATTTAGATCCTCGAAAATATTGGCTAAATTCAAGCAAAATTTGATTTATCATATGTTTAGTTTGATTTAGAATTAATTTTGAAGGTTATTTATGAAGTATGAAAATTCATAAACCGGATAAGGTGCATCTTTTCACTCAGAAAGCGAAAGAAAGGAATTTTTTCAGAAGGACGTAAAAGTGAAAATTGTCGTAAGGAAAAAGTAGAACGGTGAAAAAAGTGCAACGATTGAGGAGGAGAGAAGAAATTCGCATAATTTTATTCTTTCCAGTTCTGAATGTGAACTTCCTTTCTCCTCAGTCGACAAAAGTCGCACTCCTTTTGGAGGTTGGGGGGATCGAACCCCCGCCCTCTCGCATGCAAAGCGAGCGCTCTACCACTGAGCTAAACCCCCATCCGTAACAGTTATTCTAATTCTAAGAATAATTTTTCTTATTTGTAATAAATATATGACTATTATAAATTATCATTGGTGGAAATATACCACTACTCATCCATTTCTCTTTCTTTTTCATAAGTTACTAGAACTGTAATTATAATTTCTTTATCATTAATTCTATTATTTCTCGCAATAGCGTAGTTCATTATACTATTACAATTAATCACAATATTAATATTATCATTACCATCATCATTAATTTCTCTCTCTCTCTTTCTCACTTTTAACTGTATTATTATTATTTATTGTATTATTATGATTATTCATAATATTAATCTCATCATTACTGTATCTTCAATAAATATTACGAATTATTATCACTATTATTATTATTATTAGGATATTGTTATCAGAAACGATTAATACTAATCATTTCTGATATTTGCAAATAATGAATGGAATTATATGAAATGTTTGATAAGAAAGATATGGAAAAAAGAATAAGAATAAACAATTATTAAAAGCAATAAAATAGTAAGCCTATCAGTGTTGTATAAAAGAAATGTTTAAAGTTGGAAGAAGCGATTGTTTGAATAATGTGAACTATAAATACCTAAAAATGCTGTCAAGATTGAATTTATCATTTGAATAGCTGTTGTTGCATTATTGATTGCATTTTTATTCTATTATCGATGACGCATGAAATTACGTAATATTAGTTTAGTTGAAGAAATTGTTTTAAAATAATGATACATTATTCAGCTATTATTTATTTATAAATAAGAATATATTATTTAGCTACATTTGATATAATTTTCTTATTCCTAACTAACTAATTAGTAATCAATGATAATACATATATCACTTGGTTGTTATAACTTTGTAATAAATGATAATATATGAGTTATCGGAGATTTTTGATAAATCACAATATGTTTAGTATAATGTGAGAATTTTGGTATAATTTTATTACTATTTTTATTTGGAAAAGAATTATTTCATATTGAATAATAATTTTTCTATTGAAAATTCGAAATTGCAATTTTATTAAAAAATAATTTTTCCACGCAAAATTCAGAATTACAATTTTTTTTCTATTCAAAAACGATTTTCAATATTTCGTATAATTTTTTTTAACTACAAAATATTGAAAATAGTGCATTCTATTCTGTATGTTTGTATTATTGGGTGTTTTTGAAATGGAAAATTTTAGTGTAATTTGCTTATCGTTTGATGTTTGAAGTTAGAGATTGGATGATGAAATGGAAGAAATTCTCTCACAAGTTGGAAACAATTATTACAAAAATACGTGACAGGTAAAAGTTTTCATTTCTGTCAAATCGAGACAGGTAAAAATTTTCATTTCTATCGAAAATTTTCATTTTAAAATGTTCACAATTATTATGTAAACTATTGGGTTTGCTATATGCGAATTTGATATCATATTAAAATTTAAAATTATTCATGAGGAATTATGATAGTGAAATTATTTCGTTTTAATTTACTTTTACCTTTAATTGGAATCGTTAGGCTATGAGAATTATTAGGCCTATTAGCTAAAACATATAGCAATACTTTTTCAATTCTTTCTGAGCATATTTTATCATAGAATGATGATTTTTAAGGTGAGATTTGTATGAAAAATATTATTTCATTATTATGCATATAATTAAGATATAACCAGTGCATTAATTTTGAATTCCCAACTTAATGAGTTCATTTGATTTAAATGAATTCGTTTAATTTCTTTCAGCTATGTGAAATTTTTATTAAACTATTCCTGGTTTGTTATTATCTCTGTAATATTAATTTCGTTATGTTTATCAGTTTATGCAGCGCTATTTTGTTATGATACTTTCACATTCAATCCATTAACTGTAAGTGTATCATTTTATTTTTCCTTTCCATTTTTTTAAATTAACAAAATAATTTAAGATTAACTTATCGAACATATGAAATGAACACTTTGCCGGAAGGTATCTGAAAAGATCGATCATCTGATTCAAATTTGTTTTTCATTTGTTTCATTAAATGTTGAAATAGTAAATGTAATTATAATGCATTTGAATACTGTATCGATTTTTATATTTCAATTTATGCAATATTAGAAAAAAAAATAGCTTAAATTTTTTTCCTTGAAATTTTTAAAAATTGCATTTTAAATTTGATCGATAATAAATTAAATTATATCTGAGGGATTTGAAACTCGTAATACTTTTTTATCGAATCAACGATTGGCATTGGATAATTTAATTGATCGAGCTGTCACAAACGAACATATCAAATCAATAAGCAAACGTGAAATAACCGATAATAATGTGCCACGAAAGTTAGCAAATTTAATTTAATTAATTTAAGTTAAGAATGATTTGAAATATTAAAAAATACCATAACTTTTAAAATATCTTTACACTTGTTTTTTTTAATATATGAAAACTTTTAAAAAGGTAATAATTTTTTTCTCTATTTTGTATATTATTAAATTTCACAATTTTTGTTGATTACAGGTATGATCGACTTGCCCACCATAAAAATACAAGAGAAACAAAACTAGAAATACCACTTAATGCATGTCAACAGTATTTCGTCCTTGGTGCTATCATTCCACATGAACTTATATTAGTGTTGTCGAAATTAATTTTCAAAGTATCATCATTCAATAGTGTACGTTGAAAATTTCCCATTGCAATTTCAGATGTATTTTTGCAAAAAAAAGAAAAAGAAAAAGATAATTTAAACAAAGGATTTTGAATCATCGAGATATTTAATCATTCAATATATATTCCGGATATATTTTTATCATATTTTGTGATATTGATTAGATCACAATAAAGGATGCTTAATCCGGTTTATTACGTAAACGAGAAAAAAAGAACAATATCTCATCCGTGATATTCCTGAAATTTTTTTCAATTCTTTTATAAATTGCAGTTATTCAACATGCATATAATGGAGCGATTATGTGCCATCGATTCCATTATAGATAATGAAATTAATTTGAATGGTTTGAATACGACAAATATAAAACGTTTATCGTTTTCCTTTAATTTACCATATTATACGATGTGCTTAAATATGAATATATCATCATCAAATTCATGCTCTTCGCTTGATTCTAATTAGTAAGTTTATTTTTTGAATTGAATACATTGGTTTAGTTTTATCTAATATAGACATTGGTGATAATAGATAAGCTTGAGAGAATGATAATACAAGCATGAATGAAAGAATAAAGGAGAAACAATTGAAATCTGTCCTATAGATAATGAATCGAAATCTATCCCAATGAAAATGTATCGAAATTTTTCGATCCCATAAAGAATGTATCGGAATCTATTCCGCAGATATTTGTATAAGAATACATTCTGTAGATAGTATATTGGAATCTATCTTATAAATAATATATCGGATTCTATCCGTAAATAATATATCGGAATCTATCTTACAGAAATTGTGTATTGAAATTCATTGTGCGATAAACCTAATGTTTGTAAAATATAGTTGTGAATAACTTTTGATACATTCTAAATTTGAATCATTTAAAAAATCACAAATTATCACATATATATGCATGCACGCTTATTGCATCACAAATTGATTTCCATCTTAATCAATGATCAGAGATAGATAATTAATTTATTGTTGAGAATATTATCATATTCATCAAACAATCTATCTATTTGATGTGATAATTTCAGCATTGATGTGTTCAAATCGCTTGTCTTAGCATGTCAGTCGGATGAGTCGTTAATTCAATGTCAACTACCCATTGCTAAACAACTTTCCAACATGATATTTCAGAAAAATGACGGGCCTATAGATGTTAATCAACCACTTCATTTTGCTGTTGTTTTACCGGTAATTACTTACCTTCTACAGTTCTAATAATGCTATCGAAGAATTGCAAATAAAGCTAGAAATGATATATTATTCTCTCTTCTTTATTTATCTATAACGTTTATAATTTCTAAAACTTTCCTAATTTCATGTAAGTTTGTGAGAAGTTTAAAATTTCACTTAATAATCTAGTAAGCTTATAAGTTTATAAGTTAAGTTTATCTTAATAACTTATAGTTTATAAGTTATAAGTTTATGCAATTTTGATAAGTAAAAATTAGTTGGGAGGCAATTCGGTGTTAAAAAACAATCGGATTTAATTTAATTTTCTTTTACAAGTTTTACAATCAATTTTGATTTAATTTTATCTTCATATTTATTTACAGATTTTACAATCAGCTGATGGTTATTCACATTTTCATTTTTATTCAAGTTTACTTCAAAAGTTTCAAGAAAATTATAACGACGATGAGTTAAAATTAGTTGGAGCGCAATTTGGCATTAAAGAAGGATTGTTTGTTAAAGAACTTCGAAATGATATACGACTTGGTGTATTAGCTGTCATTCTTACAATATTCATTATATTAATATATACTGACAGCTTTTTCTACACATTTTGCATCACTGCTACCTTATTATTATCAATTAGTGTTGCTTTTTTTGTTTATACGGTAGGTTATATTTCTTTAATATTATTTAATAATTTTTTTTAATTTTTTTTTACTATTAACAATGATTCTATTCAACGTATCACACATATTATTATGATAGAAGAAGAGATGATAGAAGGGAAGGGGGAAAAGAAAGAAAATTTTAATTTACAATTTCATATATTATTACATTCCTAATATTAAGCAATTTTTTTGAAATGGATGAATGAATACGGTATAATTGATCGGTTAGAAATAAATTTCATAAAGCATTGAATTTTTTTATTGAAAAAATTTCAGGTAATTTTTGGGATTAAATTTTTTCCATTTTTGAATTTACTTGCAATGATACTTGTTGTTGCCGTTGGTGCGGATGATGCATTCCTTTTCATGTATCAATATCGGAAACATAAAGAGGTTTTTATTAATTTCTTTCTCTTTCTTTGCTTTTAGTTGAAAATATAATTTGTAAAAATTTATAAATTATGTTGTATAGACATAAGTTTGCATTTTAGGATGCCACTAAAAAATGGTCACCAGTGTTATTGAATTGTGAATCAAACAATACAAAAGAAGAGAATTCTGATAAACAGGAGGTGATTATTGTTTTAAAAATTTATTAATAAATGCATTAAATCGTCTTGCTATATTATTATCACTATCACTATTATTATCATCATCATCATCGGAATAGATCATAAGAGAAAGAGAAAGACAATTTCTTCTTTTTATGCAAAATATTCAAGTGATATTGATAATACATATAGTGATAGGGAATATAATGATGATGATGATTAATTTCACTACCATCTTTCATTACATTATATCATTTTAATTTTGCTATTTATCATTTCAAAGATAATATTTCGTTTTTGTTTAAGCGAAATTAGCCTGAATTTTTATTATTTAATAATTTAAAAGAAAAATGAAAATTTCAGTTAATGGAATATCATCGTCAACAAGTGATAACAGGTTTAAGTGATGCATTATCACACGCTGCAATTTCAATGTTGGTTACATCAGCAACTACTGCTGTTGCATTCTTTGCTAATCTTGCTTCAGAGATTATGGTACTTAGGTTGGTGAAACAATTTATAATTTTTATTATTCCTAATTTAGTTTGAAAAAAACAAAAAAAAATGAACAAAAAAATTACTAAATTTCACATCAATCTTATTATTATTAAAAAAGTTTCCAAAATAAAAAGAAAGAATTTGATTGTTAAAATCAATGATTATCTTATTTCAGACATTCTTTTCAGGTGATTCTTTAGATTTCTCTATTTGAAGTATTTTGGTTTTTCTGTTTTAGATGTTTTGGTATATATGCCGGTATATTAATGATGATTAATTATATGCTTGTAATGATAATATTACCTGCTGCAATTGTCGTTAGTGATGGACGTGTTAAATCATTTAACATTTCAACATTTTTCGTTTGGAGAATAAAATCACGAATTACTCAACTTTGGCATAATGCTGCCACTAGCATTGATATTGTATTTAGCAGAATAATTTCACAAATTGTATATATTGTTCGATTACCACTGACATTATTAGCACTTATTGCATTTGTTATATCAATTTATGCAATTGTTAAAACACCTGGAATTCGATTACCAGAAAAAAATTCAATTCAGGTTAGTTAATTTATTACTCATTTCAATTTGTTAAATTAGAAAATAATTAAATAATATTGTCTGTGTAATGACATATTACTATTAATAAATAAGAATTTTGATTAAGTAAATATTTAATTGTTATTCCTAACAAAATAAATTGATTTGGGTAGAAAAAATAATTTACTTTATAACATTTAGTTTTTACGTTCTAATCATCCATATGAATGGTTTGATGAAAATGCTGCAACACTGTTCGACTTTTCGAACGGTCAACGTCCAAAAATGAATGTTATTGCGATTTGGGGCATTAAACCAACAACGTTAGTAATTTGACATTCTTTTCAAATTATTATCATATTATATAACTTAAGTAAATTTTGATAATTTAAATATCTTAAAGAAGATATACATATGTACAATATCTTTGCAATATTGTGTATCTCGAAGATATTTAAATTCAGCAAAGGAATTTCCAAAAAAGCCATTAACAATTACTAATTTTGAGTTTTAGTAGTTCTGATAATTGCTGCTAACATATTTAAAAATTTGATGAATTAGTGAATTTGTTTATTTTAGAGATAGAAAAGTTTGATAAGTTCAAATCTTTTTAGGGATGGAAGTTTGCTGATTCCAAAAGAAAAAGGATCACTAAATATCGATAGTGGATTTGCTGATATTTTGGCCAATCATCTACTAGAATTTCAGATTAGTTATTAATGAGAAACTTGCTAAATACATGATATGTTCATTTTAATAATTTTAATTCTAGAAATTTTGCAACTATTTGGAAAATAAAATTCAAAATCTTCATTGAAGCATTTATTTCTAAGAAATCGAATTAATGTACTGCAAGAATTTGAATTGCACTGTTTGCTAAAATAATACAATGAAAACTTCTTAATGTAATGTTTATTAATTTTAAGCATTGCTCAAATATGTTAGCCATCAAATCAATCCAAATGTGAAACAGAAATTATGGTTGGATGAATTTATTAAATGGACAAATTTAAATACAACTTCAAAAAGCTGCCGACTATTCAGTGTAAAACAATCCGGATTATCAACTGTTAGTTAATTAGTTGGAAAAATTTTTTTTTTTGATTTAAAATTAGCCACTTTTTTTTAATGTAAAATTAATAATTTCGTTATCGAAATATCTTTTTTGCAAATAATTTTACTGTCATTTAAAGATAAAGAATTAATTAAACTGTTTAAAAAGATAACTTTTTTTCTTCTTTTTCAGCCGAAATCATTTTCCGGAAATATGCTTTCACATTGTTTTCTTCAATTTGGACATGCAAAATCACTTCCGATATTTGACCAATGGCAACGTAATGATAATGATGGACCAATTTTTGATAAAAATGGCACCTTTTTGGTGTACTTTTTATTAACATATAGCAAATATAATTTGTCAACTATTTTCAAAGAAATGAAACCATTTTTCGATTTTATAAAAAGCATAAAAATGGGGGAAAGTGAAATTTCAGGTAAGCTATATATATATATATATATATATAATGTTGGCGTTATCACTCGATCTACTATTTATTAACATGTAGAATTATCATCCCAAATATCTTCGTGTAAAATTACTATCTAACATAGTACTATTTACGTGCACATTTGTTACTTACATAATATAATAGACGTTTAAATTATATAAATCTTTTATATACTAATTAGTTAAGCATAGATTGAGCAAAAATGATTTGATGAAATTAATAAGAAATTGGAGATTTTTTAAATTTTTTGAAATTATTATTTTAGAAATTAGCAATTGAAGAAAGAATATTTATTTTCTACATTTATTCAATTACATTTTATTTCTTTTTTTCTGTTGCAGAATTCAATGAACCTTTAATTTTAACAACAAATCGTATAACGAAGTTGTATGATTTATTTGAGCGTATTCTGAATGGTACCGCTATTTCGGTATTTATTTCATTGATGGTTAGTATGATAGTGATCATTTTTATCACTTTCAATGTGATCCTATCATTTTTGGCTATCATTTGTATTGCTACCGTTGTTACTGTAACTATTGGTATCGTACTTTGGGCTGGTAAGTTTTCTAATCATTTCAATATTTTTAAAATGATCGTTTTTTTCTCTTCTTTTTTGTTCTCTAAAGATTCGAAAGTTTCCTGATCCGAATTCTTCAGAATTATAAGTATGAATAAATAAATGAAATGTAATTTTAAGGTTGGACAGTTAATGTTGTCGAAGCAACAATAATTGTACTAACAATTGGCATGAGTTTCGATTACTGTCTTCATTTCGCCGTTGGTTTCCGACTTCATAAAACCGCTAATTACAGGTAACTTTGATTTCTCTGGTATAGAATTTCATCTTCACTTGTTATTTATCATTTTAATATTTACTAACCGTATGTTGAAAATAACTGTAATATTTCCATTTTTCGTTGAAATAATCAATATAATTATTCAATTATTTAACTTTCCAAATAATTGCACCAATTAATATTATTGAAAACTTTTTTCATTAACATTTTAATTTATCAACAAAATTTTTTAATCATTAATATTAGATTATTGTCGATATTTCAGTATAGTAGCATCTGCTGTTGGTATACCGGTATTTCTATCAGCTGTTTCATCATTCTTTTCGGGATTTGTTCTAATTGGCGCTTCAACACAAGCATTTTTTGAAATTAGTGTCTTTCTGATGCTAATTACTATCATAAGTTTTACCGTTGCTGTATTTGTCTTCCCTTCGATGGTTACTTTGCTATTACAAAAATGCTCATCACCTGATCCGGCAGCAACCACGCACCTTTAAATGGTCAAAAATACTTTTTATAATTCTTTGAATGGAATTTAATTTATTGAGAAATAAATTAAATTAAATGCAAAAAAAAAATTTCATTCAAAGTTGACATGAATTTTTAAAAGAAATAAATGTTGAATGTATCAAAAAGTTAATACAAAACTTACGCACACAGACAGGTTGTCACAATTCTTAGCGATTATACGCAAATTTTAATTTCTCCTCCTTCCCCTCCCTCACAGAAAAAAAAGAATAAAATATAAAATTTGTCGCTGTTTAACAATTACTTCATTTTCGTTTGAAATAGAATATTAAATGAGCAATTAACAGAAGTTGTTGTGTACTTTCAAACCAGCTTATGCAATCAAGAAAGGATACATCGGCAGTGATGTATTACATATACTTTAAGTTCACGTACATTCACGTATCGACTGGTTACATCATCGACTCGTCACTAAACAAATTAAATTAAATATCATTTCATTCAGTGTAATGGAAAACAATGCTATTTTTCAAAGAACAAAAAATTTTCTAAGTGCGAAAAATAAGATGTACGGAAAATAAAATATAACGAAAATGCAGAAGTTTATCATCTTGCTACCTTTATCGAGTAAAGATGCTGTTATTGATGATTTAAAAGCGGAAAAAAATAATCGATTCAGATTATCAGAAATCAAATTAATCTTTCTGTGAGAAATAAAAAAGAAATAGAAGAATTTAATTTCGACTTAAATGTGGAAAAAAATTGATTGAATAATTTATGATATTAATTTACATCCGGTTAATTCGGATGTTGATAACATATGAAGTTACCATCCATCCTACTCAAACCGCAGACGGATAATGAACGGATAACGGAAAGGTATTAAATGTGTTACAGATTTAATACTTCTACGTCATCCGTTCATATTTCCTAAGATGCAACGGTATGGTTGTTCTTATTGAACGTATTGAAACACGTTAAAATAAATTGAAATAAATCGAACGGTATCCAATTCTATCAACTGCGAATAAAATGTGCTCGAAAGAGAACTATTAAGGTTTCTTTTTGTATTTCTCGTTTTTCCTTCAGTTAAAATTAATAAATTTTATTTCAAATATCATCAATTATTTTGCGGCAAATAACAAAAATCAAATATGAATCGGTTAATATGAATTAAAAAATGTACAACTTTGGAATTATCAGAATTAACTGTAAACAGACTAATGCAAGATAAAATTATCATTATCAATGTGATAGCATAATTTGGATAATTGGAGAAATAGAAAAAATTCACGCATCACAATTTCATGCTAGTTTTTCTCAGTAATTTACACCGTAATGAAATACTTATTAGGGGATCCGATAGGTATAATTGGAGTATTGCAATATAATAAACTTTTTGCAAAAATAGTCAAATTTGATCTCCAACTTTTCAAGGCAACTTTTTTGTTCTTTCTTGAAAAACTTTGCACATTTGATAAGACAATGAATATTTTATGACTATGTAGCTTACCTTAGTTTTATAGTGATTGATACTTTTATATATATTAAGGAAAATTAATCTGTAAAAAAAGAGTGGAAGAATTTTTTCTGCAATTTAACAACCGATAATCATGTTTCATGAACTGGTTTAAAATTCAAAGAAAATTTCCAACATTGTAACAAACAATAGTTTACATTGCCTTGATCATGTTCAACGTGACACAAAATCGGAAAATATTGGATTAAAAAAATATTGAATGACAGCATTTTGTACGACCTTATACGAATCAAAAAGATCAAATACGAGTAACACAACATTTATTGTTGTTTTGTACCTATGAATGGACTAGTTTATTGACAGAATTGAAGATCAGGTAAGCAATGAATGTTCCACATTTACTCCAGTAAGTGCTATTTCAGGTCGCAAAACTCGTAAAATTTGTAGATGTTATCAAAATAATTATTGCAAAACAATTTCTTTTTCAATAAAACCAACTCCCCTAATTTCAAAAAATTCAAAAATTTGAAGTCACTATTCACTTCTTCTCCTTCTTTACTCTTCATTCAAAGGAATGATGAATCGATGATCTTTGGAGATGGTTTTATGTTCTCAACGGATGGATCAATTGCGCCTCCACATATCCCCTTTGTTAGGTACATTTTGAAGATTATCTTGATTTACGCCATCTTTGTAAATCATCACTATTCCCAGCAAATATGTCCTTTGAAATTGTCCACCAGAATTTTTCAAAATACGGGCAAGTTGGTAGCATTTTATGTACTACCTTGGATTAAAGTTGCATTATACGCGCAGCTGTAACACATCTTCTCCTAATACTATCAAAATATGCAAGAGGTCCCCAATATGGCTACATTTATTTATGAAAAGTTCAAAAATGTTACGGTATATAGTTCGTTAAACTTTCTCTTCACTGTTTAGCATTTTCTTCATACATTTTTCGTTTATTAAAAAAAGAGCAAATTTGCAAAATCATTCATGTCGTAAAGAGAAGGAAATTTAAAACTTCCGGTTCAATACCGAAATGATTTTGACACAAAAATTTTTATGCCATTTACAGTGTCTGGGTTGGAATGATTTGCCGAATTATTTCTACTTGGTCACATTATTAGGTGATGTAAGAAAGTGAGCAAATGGTGAAAAGTTGGTAAAACCTCCATAATCATTATCGGATGGGTGAATGTCTTTCACAACTGGAACTTGAACATGTTTAACGAGCTATATCAGAAAATATTCTTTAATTTAATCATAATCAAAAGGAAAAAAAAAGCTCGAAGATAAATTTTAATACACAAAATTTTGAAGTAGCAATATCTTTTTATGCCGATTATAATACGAGGATCAGATGCTAACAAAATTACCCCTTTCCTCATTTTTGACCCATAATTCTGGATTGATCAAACTTTCCATTTCATCGTCCGCGCAACTACCTAAAAAAGATTAGGTGAACAAATGTTTTTCAGTCTTTATTAGGATCATCAAAACTGATCCAGCTAATTCAAGTCCAGCTATATTCATCCGCATTTTACTTGTTATCATTAATACTGCCTGTTATCACTAATATTGTGCAAGTATTATACACAACACCATCTTTTTTTTTCTCTTCCCATTTCAGTACCAACGTCCATATGATTATACTGTAGTGGGAAAATGAACAAAATTAAAATATAAGTTCCACTTAAATCATTTATTATTATTTGTAGTTGTGTGTTGAATATTTAAGTTGAGTTTATATAATTAAAAGCTTTAAATTAAATTGAAAATCAGGAAAAAGAAAACAACCTCGACTTTTACGTGGAAAGCATTTATCAGTAATATGATGCAAATCGCTGGCATATTGCATACGATGATCCTCTATAAGACTTTCATCACCATCATGGCATGCTTTAACATGTTTAATTACGTCAGATTTGGTGATTGTTGTCCATGTTTTCTTACATTCACGACAGAAGAACATCGGCAGCCGTACGTGCCTTCAAAGAATGAATAAATGGCGGACACGTTACATGACTTTTTGATGAGAACATCTCAATCTAGACCGTGCGTTAATGATAAATTGTTTAAATCAAGACCTTTTTTTCAAAGTAATTTATAGCGCTGAAATTATATTCCTATTCACTCCAATAGCTTTTACTATTCGAAATTTTCAAATATGTCACGCCTTAAAATTCCTTAATCAGTGAACTTGTCCCGGAACGATTGTATTTCTTCTGAAATGTAGATGCGTTCCGGAACTTAGAGAAAAAGTACCAGTAGAATTATTTCGTACTTGGAATTAGCGTGGTAGATAAGTGATGAACGTTGACCAGTAACTTGAAGACCGCAGATATTACAAATTCGAGGTGGCCGTGATCGTTTCTTTGTTTGCTGCGAAAACACGTCGCTACCAGCTGTTAAGCTATTTGACGGATCAACAATATCGATTGGCTCACACCCCATTACGGCAGTATTAGCGCTACTACCGGCCTCGTTTCGATATAAATCACCCAAAATACTCACTAAAAATGCTAAATATTATAACTGCAGTCAGAGCCAGAATAAACACTGAAATTGAAAATTCAATTAAATGCTCACCAATATTCACTTGATCCGGATCGTGTTGTAATACAGCACCTGAGAATGTATTCGGCTGTGAATCTGATTCCTTTTCCAAAGCACTATCTTCTGGCTCCACTTCGCTACCCTAGAAAAATTTATAAAGCACAATCTTAATCTTATTTAAGTTTGAAGATTCAAAAAATAGCATCGGAATTACAAAAGTGATTTAATCTTACAAAAAGTATTTTTGAAACATTATTACACGAAGAGATACTTTAGCATTTTCGATTTTCGCTTCTTTTTCGGTTTCAGTCATACGAGTTAACTCATCGGAATCCACCGAGGCAGCACACAGTTCCCCGGAACTGAGCAACGACGAATAATCAGTTATTCTTCAAATTTTAAAACTTATAAATTTGATGGCTAACAAAATAGTAAAGGAAAATTTAATTTGAAATAATGCTGAAAAAAGACAACGAAAAAAAGCATATAAACAAACTTTCGTCGTTTGTAAGTTCCAAATGGAATTTTTGATACGGCAACAGAATGGTGTAGCATTTCCCTGATTTTCTCACGCTTACGATGGAAGTCTGGCGTGACTTTATACTTTACCTGAAAATGAACAAAAAATTTTGATATATCTATCTGTTCACATTACAAAAAGGATTATTTTATGGATTTGACAGTCCGAATATTTTGAGAAAACTTACGTAAATAATCTTTAGATAACTCTATGGCAACTTACGTGATAACTTATAATTCAATAATATACATTTGGATAAAAAAAAAATAGATAACAAAAAAATAGATTTTAACTTCTTTAAATCCCATCCATTAAAGGATAGTTGAAAAAGATTAGCGAAGAAACATCTCAAATAATTAATAGCAAGCAATCAGCTAAGTGTTATTTATTTAGATTTCTTCATTAGCTGAATAATCGCTGAATAGCTGTCCTTAGCTGAGTAATGGTCAATATGGAGGATGCGTACTAATATGTGCATTAATTGTGCAATAAATTAAGAAACTGACATAAAATTCCTTTAATCCATGATCTGTGGTATAATGGCTGATTAAAGCGAATTCGGTCGGAAATTTTGAAAAACGACACCGTTCGCATTCATACGGTATATGACTGATATGATCCGCGGCAATGTGTATTTCCAATTCTTCCACGGTTTCATACGTCAGCGCTTGCAATGGACAAACTACACAACGAAACATTTGTGCCTGAAAATTTTCAAAATTCAGCAATCGTTATTTTTAGACTTATCAACGAATGTTTAACTTTACATCACATAAGGTCAGAGAATTAGTCTCACCATTAGATATTCATCCTTCTGCACACTTGTAAAAAGAGATCTCGCGATCAAATGAGCATACAATAACGCATACCGTAAAATATACAATATCAATAAGATTATATGTATTAACAATAATATCAATAAGATTAGATTACATGTAAGAAATTGATCATTGCAAGGTTAATAAAGATGGAAGTTTAAATATTCAGATTTGAAGCAATCAATTTATACAGTTGATGAGGTTTCTTATTGGAACAATTAAATGAAATAGAAAAGAGCTTTTTTGGCAAATGAACAACTATAGAAAGTTGGTCACATATAGTATCTGTAGATGGCATATGGGATAACGGTCAATTTCGTGGCTCTATATAGTAGTGCAGATGGATGATATAAGAGATAACGATTCAAGAAATTTTATATTTTGGATTTTGAAATGATCATTTCTTATTGATACATTGGTAAATCAAATATTTCAAATGAAAAAAAAAAAAGGAATTATTTTAAATTAAATAAAATATTTAAATTAAGTAAAAAATACAAAAGAGCGATAGCTGCGGCAGTACACGTCAATAATGATGATTGCAATAGCAGTAATTGTTGTTGTTTTTGTTTTGTGGTAGCAGTAGTAGTAGTAGTAGTAGTGATAGCAGAAGCAGTAGTTGTAGTGGTGGTAGTGGTAGTAGTAGTATAGTAGTAGTAGTAACAATGATGCTGCGGTTTTGAATGTTACGAGTGTTGTTGAATGGTTTGCTGCTCCATTCCTTCCTTCCTTCCTTTCCTTCCACCATTCATTTCTGTCCTTTTCATTCTTCCCATCTATGAAAGTAGGAGGAGAATGAAAAAGAGCGAGGGAAAAGAGGAGAAAAAAGATGATGAAAGAGAAAGAAATGGATAGGAAAAGGAAGAAAAGGAATGGATGGGAAGGAAGGAAGAAGGAAGGAAAAGAATTGAATCGATCGGTTTGAGGAATTGTTATTGATATTATAATGACTATGCCTTTTTTCCAGAAAATTAAAGCATTAAGAATGAAAATTGTGAGGAAAGAGAGGAGGAATTCATCACATATAAGACATTTTCTTTAATAAGATTGCAATTCCAAAAAAAAAGTCCCGGTATTTTCCGTATTAGAGAAAGATTAGAATTAGAATATGATATTGATAGGGAGAAAAATGATGATATCATCACTTTGAATGTATTTTTCGCTTTCCTGCAACATCTGATTAAATTATTATAGGCATTTCTTAACTGATAGGAATTGTCATTTCTTATTTGAGTTATTCTAATTTTGTTTGCATCACAATTCATATCCTTAATATTCGTAAGCAATTTCCTATCTTTGCCCTTTAACGATTTAAATTCTGCTAGAAATTTGATTGATATTCCAAAATGACGTTTATTTGGAAATTCTGAATATGGCATACAAATTTTCAAATATATCATTTGTGATCAGGTGATGATGCATTGAAAGATATGACATTAGATAATGTTAGATATAAATATTTATTTGGAACCCCTACCTCGATTTCTTACAGTTAATAGGATATTCTCTTAACATATATAGGCGTTTCTTAACTGGTAAGAATTGTATTTATTCCCTTGTTATGCATTCTCATCTTTGGTGCTTCTCTCAACTACCAGTCTTTTCCCTCAAATTTCGAAATCATTCATCTTTCAGCTATCTATCCTTATTTTCTCTATTTGCTCAACATTTCCAAATCAAACAATCATAGGATTACTGGTCATTTTCGCTCACTAATGGCCACTACATCATTGCAATAATTGGATGCCGTGCAGAAAATATTTATTGGTCATCATTATTAATAAACTATTATTCACCAATTTTTATTGATTGAAATTTTAGAATCTCCACGAAAAATAACTAATAAATAAAAATTAAATTATAAAAGACTGAAATGTACAGTCAGATCCGCTCGAAGTGGATGATCGTTTTTATCATATATCAGCAATTATTTTTTGTTTGTAAAATTATATTACTATTTAAAAAGATTAATTTAATTGACTGGATGTGCGTTTTTCAGAAAGGTGCAAAATTTGTTCTCATATAACACGAATTTATTCTCATATTACATAATACCGGAAAAATGACGTTTTTCGGGAATTGATTGGACCGAAAAACTCGAAATACTGGAAAGTATTAAACCAGTTTTCCTCTTTGTTTTTATTTTTTCAAGTGAGTGATGGCCATTATATCCATCGTTCCTTCACAATTATGCTTTTTAATATTCTAATTTTGAATTTCGCAACAAATCGTATTTTTAAGATAAATTTAATAAAATGAAACGAAGACATACATATTTGATTAAGTGACGTGGCCATACATCCTTTTCGACTTTATTTGATATTGCCTTCCATTTTTTTCCATAATATTTGATGCGGCCGTTTAGATTTTACAGTATATGTGAAATGATTAATGAAAAGTGTTTTACCAAAGATTAATCAGTTATTAATTATTTTCACTGTTGTTCATCGTTGTACCGAAGTTTGTTGCTTTCGATATACTCTCTTGTTGCAGGAATGTTCTTCTTGTTTGTCACTTAAGATTATATAGTTTCAGGGCCTAAATACTTCAATGTCCAAACTTATAGGATTAATAAGTCACCAGACTGATAATGGATTATTACACGTATTTGTTCCAGGTTTTTCTCTTCCTTATCTTTTTCTCGTTTTAAGCTTCCTGCTTTCACTTGATTGGAAAACTGTTGGTAACACTGACTAAAGATATAAAGACTTGATTTTGTTTATGATAGATTTATTACTTGACTAATTTGTTGCATCAAAATCCTTGTTACTTTGAAAAACCTTGTTAGAATTCAAATTTATACTGATGATGTTTCTTTGATAAATATTTTGCCTTTTTCTTTATTTATAGGGAAACATCCTGATTTGGTAATTGATCAGCGTAAAATACCGAATGATGAACGACACTTTCATATTGGTGATTTTATATCATTTTATATCATCAATGGTTCTGTCACTTCACCAACTCGGACAAGTAAATTGTTCGAAACACGTCTTCTAAACAATGTTTTACAGGTATAAGTTATTGTCAGTACTTACGTTATACAAACTTTCATCTATTTTATTGCTCGGGACTTTTATTTTTGCGGTTGATACTAAATGATTATGAAAATTTACCATCATCCGCTGCCGTTAGTATGCTATTATATTACAACGGATTCAAAATTGTTTTGATCATAAAATCATTCATAAGTGATCGATTTTGTAAAATTAATAGCATACTTGCAGCTGTTCTTTTTGCTAAGAATTTATACAAATGCGTAATATTTCCTTTGTCTATTTCAGGTAAAAGTTTCGGTGATATTTCCCCCAGAAGAACTCTTTGAACGAGCCAATTCCACCGCATTTGCAGCCCCTACTAAAAAAATGCTTGCTTGGTCGCCTGACTTTGCATTTGTTGGTTGCTCTCCCAATATCGTCAAGACATTATGTCGAAACCAGATGTATAAGGCTTGGATTAAAAGGTATGTATGGTTCGAAGTTAAGAAGGGCATCTTGTTGTTTGATTTCTCTGATTTCCAGAGCAGTTCCGTCTTTCAAGAAGATTTGATATGGAACTAATGGGGTTGTTTCGAATACTACACTAAATCACATTTGATTTCTAGTGGTGAATTTGATCTATTTTTATCAGAGTATTTATTTCTTATGAAAAAAAGATTTTTTGGAAAAAAATCTTCTGGTAGCCAAATGAAATAATTCCAGATGACCAAGTAAAACTGCGGTCGTAATTTCATTTCTTCTTATTCAAAGCCACAAGAATACGTTAAGTACACAAAAAGCAAAAATTTAACTGCTTGATTTGAGAATGTTTTGATTTCGGTTAATAATCTTATTATAGAATCCCTGGGATGGTCCAAAATATTGCTGGTGTGTTCGTGTCATGGCAAATAGTGGGCGATGTTGTGGATGAATGTGATGAGCAAAGCAAGCAACTTATCAAAAGAGCGGTTAGTCTATGCTTGTTCAAGCTACCACTCTTTTTGAAATCTTTTTCGCTATTGAAAACATTTTGAAAGTCTGTCCTTTGCGTCTTTATATGCATATTTTATTTTCTGCTTAAAATCATGAATTGGCCATTTTGTTCTAAATTTAAAATTTATATCTCTGTCCATATTTCTTCTAGAATCGTTAATTCTTCACTCTGTACGAAATGTTTGTTGGAAAATTTCTACAACATTCACGTGGGAATTTTTCCTATATTTAGCCATGGAATCGCGAAGAAAGCAGTCAATATTTCCGAACTATTTTTTGTCCTGATCGTCCACACCAGATGCGACAAAAACCATTTCGCAATCGACATTCTTTCGCTGCATCACTGAAAAAAGTTTCCTTTTCTTATTCTAAAATTTTTTTGTAATATTTGACAGTATAATCAACAAATGATTTGAGCTAACCAGCGTTATCCTATAGACCTGTATAGAGTTATGTCCATATCCACTGCCCCTGTGTTAATAGCCAAATGCTATAGTGAACAGTACTGGACCTTCCTAACACAAAATCTAAAATGTAAATGAATGAATTATTACAGTATACAGATAATTACGAAGGATTAGTAACAGCAGTACATGATTCAGACGCAAAAGTGTGGTCTTTGGCAATACCACACAGTGAGGTGGTATTTTTTTTTGGCGCACGTAAAGGGATGAAAGTTGGTGATTGGGTTCAGTTTAATTGCGCGTAAGCATTTATGATTCAACTCTTATCTTGTTATTGCAGTATTTTTTGATTTCAATTTTACTAGTCTCTGTCTTATGCAAAACTCGATTTGAAACGTTTGAATGGTATTAAGACAGAGTGAGTCCAATATTCAGAAGCTACAAGTCAATCTAGAGTACAATTGGGTGCCAGATCAGTCGAATCATTCGTATATGTAGCATGTAAGCGGCTAGAATCGTGTATCTCTTCCGAGAGGTTGCTTACCGTTTGTTGGCATTGCAATGGGCGTCCTTAGTAATTGTTTTCTTGTAGTGTTTTGCATATATTTCTTATTGTTCTATTCAGTGAAATCAAAGCAACTTAATGATTTTGCTCTTCAGACCGTACCCACGTCCCTATCTCAATTGTTATTTACAAGGAAAAAAATTCGAAATAATTGAACCAGTGCTTCCAACAAAAGCCTTCAAGGACACAGTTCGAGTTAGTTTTACTAAAATTGAACGAAGAAACGTGAACGAAGAATTCTTTTGTTTTTGTTTCTCTTGAAATTAAAAGTGTGTCATGGAGATTATATTCGATTTGGAAATTCTGAATTGTGTGTAAAAGATGAAGATCGTTGAAAAGATTTCTGTTATTTATCACCTCAATCATTATTTGCTCCCAATAAATTGAATGAAATGGTTTGACGACTGTCATCGTCTCTTTGGAAGGGGTAACATTACGACTACTTCTACGTAAACCTATGCCAAAGTAGCCTGAAAGTCTTATCAAATATATCATCAGCAACAAAATGTTAATAGGAAACATAGTCTTTTGATATATTGTTTCCTGACATTTAATGGATATATTGCTGACACAACTTGAATAATTAAAAATTAAAAGTTTTTCGTAGGTACAAATTTGGACGACCATTGCGGTTGATAGTTTAAAATATTATCCAACTGGTGAAGTAACTGTTGAGACTGAAACACTTGGAACTGTGGAATTTGGACCACGAAAATTTCGGCAGGATTACTGCAGTAGACATCTGTCTTTGATCATCAGCAAAATCATGCCATCTGAGCGAACTGGTGCTGTTTGGCAAGTATTTTGCGTGATAAATAAGGTCTGTCCATTCTTTTAATATAAACTTTTTGTGCTCTCTTTTTTTCCACTATGGTTTTGTGTTTTTATTGAACTTCGCAAAAAAATTGCTGAATTTGTGACGATTCCTCTATGAATCAAACTTTAACCGTATTTTGTTTTACAATTCTCACTACTGATTGAGGCGGTTATTGATCAGGAAACCAATTACGCTTTATAAAATATTCTATAGCGCAAGAGTGAAATTGCTGAAGTAAACAAAATTGAGGCTTTTTATATCTTTGGAGTTTAAAATTTATTACATTATATTTTATTTTTCGTTTAATGTAATAAATATTTTCATAGGTTAGTTTGCAAGTGGGAGTGGATTAAAGTTGTCCAAAAATTTTTTGGAAGCAATTTACTAGTATTTACATGACTAATATTTCTGCTGAAGCTTACATTTCATGCATTTCCTGAATTGATTTATAGGGATGTATGGAATTCATGCAAAGTTTGCGTTCGGTTGTAAAATTTTCGAATAAGAATGACAACAATCCTTCTCAGGAATTTCTTTCCACGAAAAAAAATGAATGCAATGCGAAATTTGGAACAGATGATAGTTATCATTTCAATGTAAATTAGTCTATATTATTACTCTCAACTCAGGCAAATACTAAATTATCAGAATGCGTTGTATGATCGGCATATTTATATAGCGTAATGCTGATTTAGAAAAGTCACAGTTGTAAGTTGTATTATCTTAACTTTTTAGTTAACCACTGAATCATTTGACGCAAAAGCTGGTAATGCTGTAATCATGCATTCAATTCATTATATATCTTCGTATCGATGGTTAGAATCGTTTAGTTTTCACCATTTGACAGTTCGCAACACAATTTCGCTGCTTTGAGAACTCTATCACATATTTTTACACTTTAGCATTATCTGATTAATTTTTTGTAATTAATTTCAGGAAAGTCAGCAACAGGGATCAGGTCTTTGTCATGATTTAACGAAAACTGGTCAGAAAGTAAATCATTTATTTACTTACCACGAAATTTTTAAATTCCGTGTTTTATTAGTATGTTCTAATGATGGTTACATTTCAGGAAGTTGACAATGACTTTTATTCAGGTTGGTTTTTCTTTTTCGTGCAAAAAAAAATTTAGATTTCCTACAAAAAAAATTCATTTAGAAAAATGATTTATATATTAGTTATAAGACATAAAAGGAAGAAATAAGGAATATGTGGTTCGTGAAAACACTTTGATATGGAAATTTAAGACTGCAGTTAATCGGCATTCTTTTTTTCTTTTTTTTGCATGCATAAAAACTCAATTCAACAAGACTGATGTAATCATGATCGCAGTGCTTCAGACTTTTCATTTGGCAATGGTGATGCGGAAAATCTGAAAACGAAAGACGAATATGATCCTCTGAAAGAGCCTGTTTTCGGTGCTGTAGAGCCTCATGTTCTCCAAATCAATTCGCCAGTATTTGGCAAGGACACAGATAAGCTCGGCGCGCTAGGTTTTTCTATTTTCCTTTTAATGATTGTTTATATTGCTTGACTTTATAAATTTCAAGAGAGAGTTTTAATCAATCGATCCATATTTCACTTCAATTTGTTCGAGTGTTGTAAGAGATGGAATAATTATAAACAGCAATTTATAAAGGAAAATGAAATATTCTTTCGGAAGATAAGTGAGTTAGATTATTGTGCACAAGGTTCGCACAACACTCAAGGTATTGTAAATAAATTTTTATTTTTTTTTCATGGGAAATATCTCTGCAAGAAAGCCATTGGTGGATATAAATGGAACTAGAAGTTTATCTCACTGTAATTTTTCTAAACCAAGAACTCTACGTTAATATCAATATCATTGAATAGTGTTAAATACTGTGAATGTTGGAACTTTTATCAGTCTCTACCAAATTTTTGTCGAATTATTTTTTTAATAATTGAAACAGGTTCAGGCATAGCTCTATAGATAAGTATTACTTATTGAGGACAACATTCATTTTCTGTTATTGTTACAGGCAATCCCAGCACTGGTCTAAATGAAGAACTCTCTGAAGATGAGCGGGAAGAGATACCAGAAGTTCGTCGAAAAATTACGGAGGCAGACAAAATGTATACTTTTTCATGACATCTTAAACAAGTTTGATCAATCTTTCATATAACTTACTGATGCGAATCTAATTTATAAATTATATGCAGATGTTATGCAACTAATGACGGATCTCAATTCAAGAGTTGAAATCGATGAGGACAGTTTTGAAGAAGTTCTTAAATCGAATGACAGTGATAGGTTATAGTTCTTTTATGGAAATTTCTTCGTCTCTTTAACCAATAATTTAAGATTTTCTTATATACAGGAAGATTTTACTTTTTTCTGATTTGTTTATAGATGTTTTTCAATTTTTGCCGTTATTTTAAGTATGTTTTGCATCGGCAATATTTTAAATCCTTATTATTTGTAGAAAATTTTTCAGGAAATATTAGCTTTTTCTTGTAGGTGTTGCATGCTATAGTGCTACTTTTAAGCTTAAGGATCATACTATTTGAATATATTGTTATATATTTTTATTCTCTGAATTCATATTGAAAATGAATGAAAGGTTTCTTCTAGAATTCATTTTGTTTATATTATCGGTAATTTATTTTTGAGCTTGTTAACTATTTCATGTTGGTTATGGTATACCAGCCATGGAGAAAAGTATTACAATGTTCATGATGTATTTGAATTTATGGAAGTTTTTATTATTTCAATCAATGTAAAATGCAATATTTGTTTGCATTTTTGAGTGTGTTGTTGTAAATCATTTAAGGGTAAGGATATTAATAAATAGAAGTATCATATATTTATCATGCATATGAATGAAAAATGTTGTCTTCAACCTTCAACCTACAAAGATGCCCATAATTGCATTTTTTCATTTTTCAGTGTAATCTGTGACATTTTTTTATGCAAATTAACACTATCAATTTTAAATAATACAACCAGTGTAGGATGAAGAACAAGAGCAGTACGTATAAGATTCTGTTTGGGAATGGGGAAATATTACATGAATATGTCATGCTAAGTATGCATGAAAATTTGGATGGTACTTCTTGATTATTTCGCTTAGCGGCCAAATCTGAAATATGTTCAATGTATAGATTAAAAATAATAATATAAGTATCGAATATAATGTTAATTCTATTGCTGTGATTAATTTTAGTTATGGAAGCTTATTTTATCTAAACGTGATATGGAAAAAAAAGTGTGCTCCAATTTTTTTTCTTTTTTAAAATGCAATTTCAGATAGTCTTTTTACATAATGGTACTTTTGCAACTATTTTTTACATTGATTTCGTATTAAGCATTATAAAATTTTGATAGATGAATTCATAAATCTTATTTTGTTAATAAGTAACGGATACTTTTTCATTATAATGAACATATCATCGACTTAAAGAGAATAGGAACTTACAGCAGTAATCCTTTTTTTAGCTTTAAAGTTCATTTGCTCTATTCTATTTAATTAAGCTTCCTCATTCATACTTTCAATGTTTCCAGTTATTCTGTTTTAGTATGTCAATAACTTACCGCATGTATGCTGACTTTCTCTTTATGTCATCATTGGAGTCTACATAACGTTTCCCAAATCTGAAATTGAGCGAATAGAAAAGCAGATCTCGGACTAATTAATAGAATTAAACGAAAAAGAATGTTTATAACCTCATATATGCGCTTTTCCGTTTTTCGTTCAGATGTGGTTCAAGTTCTGAAATGGTAGAATATGATCGCCCAAAATTTGTATAGCTCGATTTCAGTTTCTCCATAATACGTTCTCAAATTTATTATTTATTTCATCTTACAGTTAATTTTGATATTAACGAAAGGTATTTTTATTAAATTTTACATTCAAAAATTATTTTAACTAGAACAAAAAAAAAAAATACCAAGGCAAATGTCAAAGTTGGGATTAAGACTACACAATTTTCGAATTTCTCGATCATCAATTTCCGGATCGGTTTCATACATTTCTAAACATTCCACTACTTCCACACCATCATATATTATCATCATCATTACCATCAATAATGTTAGTACAGATGGCATTTGCATTTTGTATTGTGGAATTTGTAAAACAGATATTGTCGTAGTACTGCTAAAGTAAACAAAAAGAATTTTTTCTGTTATTTTCTTTGAAAATGATCTGAAAAATGAAGCCGACAATAAATTATTTATTACTGTAAAATTGAAAGATATCTAAGAAAAAAACTAATTCATTGTCGAAAATATTAGAAGTCAATATAATAATTCGACAAACGTAGAATTGTAATGATTCTTAAATAGAAATCAACGTATATGTCATATGCAGGCAGCAATTCAGATTAATAGAAATTTATTTTCTTTTGGAAATGATTTGAAAAATGAAATAAAAAATACATATATTTGAAAAGCTAATTTTATTCTTTACCAAAAATATTAGAAATAATATGATAATTTGACTGTGCCATATGAAAATAAATTATTTTTAAAAATAAATCAATATATGTCATATATTTTACTATTCTTTTACTATTCCAATTGTTTTAACTATTCTTTCAATTATGATAATCTTGAAGAATAAATTTTTTTATAATATTCATAGTAAAATTCTATTTTGTTTTCTTTGTTTTAAACGAAAGCAAAAAACAATTTGAAATATTAAAAAAATAAAATGTGAATATGGATAAGAGATTTTTTCGAATTACATACTTTTTTGTGTAAAAGAATAATTTATAAATTATTATTTACTTATTGCACGTACATTAAAATGTACTAATTTATAAATTATTATTTAATTATTGCACGTATATTAAGATGTACTAAACTGTAAATTACTTATTGCACGTATATTAAAATGTACTAATTTATAAATTATTATTTAATTATTGCACGTATATTAAAATGTACTAAACTCTAAATTACTTATTGCACGTATATTAAAATGTACTAAACTGTAAATTACTTATTGCACGTATATTAAAATGTACTAATTTATAAATTATTATTTAATTATTGCACGTATATTAAAATGTACTAAACTCTAAATTACTTATTGCACGTATATTAAAATGTACTAATTTATAAATTAAGCACGAATAATTGTTATTTTAATCCAATGGTTAATAAAAAAAATAATTATTAATTTAATATATCAAAAGAAAATCATTATATTTATTCTGAAACGAATGATATGATTAACATGAATGATATGAACTTTTAATTGATATGAACTTTTGATATAAATATGATTAAATAAAACAAAGAAGAACAATTAAAAAATATATTTTCCATTTACTCTAAAAAAAAATGATATAATATATTTATTGGAAGAGAAATGGCTTAAGATAATGATTATAATCAAAAGCAAACATTAATCAATGAAAAATTCTTAATTAAATTCATATATCATTGAAAAAGAATAAAAAAGAGAATAAGACTGAAAGAATTAAATTGAGTTCGTTGATAATTTAATTTATTTATTCATCTCTTCATATAGCTTTATTCCATTTTTATTTCATATTATGCTAAATTAATTAAAATTGGCCAAAGTTTTAGGTGGCACGTAAATGTTGAAATTTTACGTTGAATGAATAAATGTATTTAATATAAATTTTTTGAAATTATTTTACTTTTTCTTTATTTATTTATATTTTTTCACAAAATAAAATTATTTCAAAAAGACAAAAATTAAAACAAAAAGAATTTTAATTACTTTTTAAATAAAATAAATTATAAAAAATAACAAAGAAAAGGTAAAATTTTACTTTTTTTGAAATAAATTAAAATAATGGTAAAAAATAAAAGGAAATTTATTGAAAAATAAAATTAAAGTAAAAAAGAAATAATTATATTAGAAAAAAAGCATTGTTTATTGTGGCAAATGTAAATATTATCACAAATATCCAATTAATATTTAATTTTTTAATTATGAAATAAAGGTATTGAGATCTCAGGTATGCATAATGTATGTCATAATTAGTCATTTTAATGCTATTAATATACTATTTATTTGATTAAATTTTTACTTGTTTTAATTCAATACACTAATTTTCTGTCTAATAATTTAAGAAAATAAATAAGTAATTAGGCAAAAAAAAAAACCTAATTAGGCATTAAGTAAGTTGAAAAATTATTGAATGAAAATAACTTCCTGTAGGGAGAACATAATTAACATTGTTAAAATTATCTTATCACCTGAAATTATCCACCTGAAATTTCCACAATATTTTAATTTTATTGAGAAATTTTTTATTTCCTATTTATCAACATGTAATTTTCATCTCATTTTATTTACTAAATTCGTTTACTCCCTTCCATCCATTACTACTACTATCCCTCATTTGTCCATTTGCACCTTACTAATATCACCTTTTTGTGCTCCAATATTAGGTAAAATATATCAAATGAATCATTCCATTTTGTTCTAATATTAAATAAAATGTATTATCCTCTCCCACTACAACTGTTTTGTCCATTTGCGCCTTACAAATATTGCTCTTTTGTGCAAAATAGAATGATTCATTTATTGTTTTGATATTTTTGAGCTAAAATGCAAGAAATATCGAGAAATATAATATCTAAAGATAAAACTACATTTTAAGATAAGGCTAAAAACAATAAAAAGCAATAAGGCTTTTTGTGATTCATCAAAGAAATTTATAGTTTATTTATAGCTTACACCAATACAAATTGTTTGAATATATAGTAATGTGAGAATAAATGACAAATTATTCAAGTTTCTATAATTAAAAATAAAGCTATAAATTTTAAAGAAATTCTATCATCCATTATATGTTCATCCGAACCTTAAAGTAATTTAATCAATGTTAATAAGACAATATATATGTATATGTATATCATTGAAAACATTAAATCATATAGCTAATTATAAAATTTAATTTAAAAAAAAATTACGAAAAAGTTTAAAATTTTATTCTTAAAAAGGATGAATTAATATATTTTAAGAATATACGTAATAATTCATGGAAAGACATTAACTTATATTTATTTATTTCTATTTCCATTAATCAATTTATTCCTTTCTTTTATCTTCATATATTCAATATTTAAATTGCTTATTTATCTTTCATTTATCATTGTGAAAACTACAAATGAAAATAAAGCTTTCAATACTTTATCGGTCCTTTCCTTCTCGCAATTATAATTTCTCATCAGAAATTTAAATTAAAAAGCTCACATTCAAATTGTCTTCGCGGCCAATTGAGAATTTTCCGCTGCTAAATTTCTTGGATTATAAAGAAATTTTTAAATGTTTCTGTTTAAGACCCCACAAATACTGTTTTAATTTAAATTATTAATTATAGAAAGAAAGATATGAATTAAATATATGTCTTTAACGAAGACATTTACAGGTATATATGTAATCTTGAAAATTATATGTCAGAATTAATTATTCTTAAACTTTTAATTTTTTTAATTCTAAAAAAAGATTGGGGGAGAAAGAGAAAGTTTATATTTTTTGGATATATAATTTTGCATTATTTTAAACTATCACAATTGCATGTTGAAAAACAAAAATTAAATAATATTATTAAATGAAGCAAATAATTATTTTACTTTTATTTTGTTGCTTAATTTAAAATTTAAGTTTGAAAAGAAAGATATTCGAAAAAAAGTTTTTTTAGGAAAAATTGAAATATCAAAAAGATTAAATAGAAGACAAAAAAGGCGATCATATCCATAAACGTTCAGACATTGAATATTTTCATCATAAAATTGAAGGAATCTTTCGAAGTTGAAATTTTTTTCCATCTTAAATACGATTGAATTCAATGGTGAAAGTAATTTATGACACCATAAAATGGCCGAAAGTGAGATTTCATAACCTTTAATTATGAAATGATTGATTTCAATTTCTTCTGTTTTTTGAAATTAAAATTTTGTTTTTGAAATTGAAATTATAAGTTCTCAAACATTTATCAATCACTGACATAATTTCCAGAAGTTTTAAAATATTTGCTTTGATTGTAAAATTTTATCTGAACCTTATCAATTCTTCATCGTATTTCTTCCTAACTTTCAAAATGATAAATAGCAACGTTAAAAGTATTGTTTACAATATTTCAGACTTATTTGATCTATCTGTTTTATTAAATATCTTGTAGTATGTTTCTTTAGTGGTCACTAATTAATTTTATCAATGATAAACTGACTATTAATTGTTTTAAGCGGTTTATCTCCACTCCCGAAAAGTTTTCTTTAATAATTCTACTTCTAATTTTGAAAAATATTTTGTAGTGATTGTTGTTTTATCTAACATATTATAATATTATCATATAATCACCATCAAGCATTTATATTAGATTATTCAAAATTGATTAGAAATAAAGACGTTTTAAAATTCTTAGATTGGAACATTTTCCTGTTTGAAAAAGATGGTTTCGCTCATCCTACGATAATATATAATATTCAATTAATTGTATATGGAATAAATTTAACTTTCTACTTTAATAACTTTTGTCACACTATTGTCAACTTCCTTCACCTTTCAGTATTTTTGTCTTTTTATTTAAAACAGTTAGTGTTTGAAGAATAAAATATAATTAAGAATGAGGAGAAAAAGTTATTTCTCTCAAATACATCCATTCATAGGTAAAATTTTGAAAATTTTGAGTTAGCGTATTTAATTATTTCAATCATATTATCGTTCGTTTTCTTAGCTTACGTGAAATTTTAATATTTCAATTTATACTTTCAAACTTACACTAAGAAATTTTGCTGGAAAAAATTATTTTAAAAAAAGGAAAAAATGGGAAGAAAAATTGTTGAAATAAATGAAATGAGAGGAATGCGTTATTTTAAACAATATTAATGAAATAAAATAAGTGGTAACAAATTTGAATTGCTCATTAGCAGATAAAGAAAGATTCAAAAACTTTTTTTAAAAATGAAAAAGGAATGTGACATAATTTTTATTTTAAAATAATGAGCCAAAATCGATAATCAAACCTAACTTATTCATCAAATTATAAATGATAATACGGTAAATGAGAAGAAATTTTTGTGCAACGAAAAGAAACGATTGATTATTTCCATTTGAGGGTAAT